GATCAGAAATTAAATAAAACAAATTTCTGATCTGTGAAAAGTTGTTGCAGTATCTGTAAAGCCAGTCTAATAAGTCCTGATAATAGAAAATATGTACTTGTAGATGAAAAAAAAATTTATATTATAAGTTACAATGGTCCCTTCCATTAATCATAACACCAGCTGGGGACAACTCCTAAGCCCATCATGACCTAAGTACAACTCCACAACCTTGTAAGGTTATATCTAAATTTAAATACATCTGGGAGTGAAGCATTGCTCAGAGTCTGGGTGGTGCAACCAGCAAGCACACCACACAGCAAGCAAAAGTCACAGATACAAGCCCACCCTGGGTCAGTTCTTTTCTTGTAGATGATTCTAAATTATTTAATAATTAAAATTATAATTATTTAGTTAAGAGATGGCACCTAACGTCTACCTCTAGTAGCAAATTATTTAATCATTAAATTAGCAGAGTTATAGCAAGATTATTTAAGGCAATCGTTTGTTTTCTATTTACATTGGAACCTCACTTAACGAGCACTTTTCATAATGAGTAATTCACATAATGAGCAAAGCAAATTGTAAAAAAATGGCTTACTTAATGAGCGACATTTTGCAAAACAAATGACGAGGAGAGGAGAAGACCTGGATTGTGCGTATGCTAGATTAGTCTGTGTTCAGCACTCGTTCCACTAGCATCTTAGTGTAGCTTATGATCACACATTTTTCCAAACTTGTATTCAAACATTACATATAAACATAACAACCATAGCTTATTGTATAATAAGCATGCTAAACACTATGTCAAATTATTGGGTTATGTAAAGGCTATAATTAAATATTAGAAATTACTGTATTTAGATTATTTTTATTTTCTGCAAATCAAATTCACATTTCAAGTTGGTTCATTCTGCACTAGAAGAAAAGATGATGATGATGATTCACACTCCTTAACAATGTATATTGTATAATTTTCTTTGAATAAACATTATACATAAAATATTTGAGTATTTTTTCAGCATGGAATGCATTATCATATTTTACATTGATTTATATGGGAAAAATTGTTTCGCTTAATGAGTGTTCTGCTTTACGAGTAATATTCTGAAACGAATTATGCTCGTTAAGCAAGGTTCCACTGTACATATTGGGATTCACAATGTTTGATATACTTATATTTTCTTCCTCAAAAGAACAACTGAAAGAAATTGGATTAAATATCAGCAGTTTTTAATTGAAAATGTAACTTTCAATATTTTTTCTACAAATATCAATGTAATTATCAACACCAATGCATAGTCAGATTAACAATAGGTCTAAAACTAAAATAAGAAAAATAACAAGAAAGATAGTGTTTATAAAAGTTATATGATCAGTTATATATCATAATCAGATCTGATGATGTTGAATATCAGCCATCTATCAGCAATTTAATTTTTAATACACAGTGAGTCAAAAATTAACCACACACACTAAATAAGATCATGTTATTTGTGTACATAAATTTATGATTAAAAATTAAACAAAAATAAACTCTAATTTAGTTAATTTATTAACTTAATAGTTTCTAAATATTTTTTTTTGTTTCTCAACAAAGACATTGTAATTACAGATAAAAAAAATTACTTGTCCACTGTTACAATGTATGAAAAGAAAATTAAGAAACAATTTGATAGTTTTTAATATTTTGTAAGACTCCTTTTTTATTTAATTATTGCCCAACAAATTTTTCATTGGTAAAACCAAGCATTTAGCTTCTTCTGGTAAGTTACTGTTCCAACCCTCTAATAACAATTTCTAGAAATACGATTTTTAATTCGTTTTCTGTAATACAGCCCGTAAATGCTCCATTAAATTTAGGTCTAATGATTATACAACCCCATTCCAACACTTCCACCCTTTTTTTTTTTAGTAAGAATTTATTGATTTTGCAGTATGTTTTGGATCACTGTCATGTTGGAAAATAAACTTATGACCCAGCTTCAATTTTTTTTATTTTTACTGGTTTTGACACTCCTTCAGCCAAAATATCTTAAATAGCAAATATAGTTTATTTTAATCATTACAAAAAGAATAAACATTTTCCCAAAACTAATGTTAACAACATCAGTGGTGAATTTTTCATTATATACTGTGGACTCCCATACAATTCAGGGAATATGTTCCATGTTATATGAAATTGTGTTATATGAGACATGCTTTATCAGACAATTTTATGAAAGTTTAAACTTATCTCAGAATTCCAGCACTGATTGCTTATTGCAAATGAATTATTTTCAAATATGATTTTATTTTAAGCAGTGTGCACTTGGTTTAGAGAAGGTTTCTTTTAATAAAGAAAAAAACAAAACAGAATACAGTACAGATAACTAAATTTTAAGAAATATTTTATATACTGTTGCTATAAATTATAACAAACATTTGCTATCTTAGCCATACATACTGAAATGAAAAAAATGTTATAAATAGGCCACTAGGCATTTCACATATGCCATGCAACTAACAGAGATTTAGTATTTAGACCTTTTATAATATCCACTATAGAACTTATACTGAAAGATAAAAAGAGCTTTTCCAAAAAAACCGTTCAACTCACTTGAGTAATCTGAAAAAATGATTAAATAAATAAAAATGAAAGAGCTTTTAAATATATTCAAGTCATTGAAACCATCAAGAAAACTTGTTTTTTTGAAATCTGAGGAAAAGCTGGTAATGAAGATAGTGTTTTCACAGGTAAAAATTGGTAGAAAACTTCACAAGGTTAAAAATTTCTTTGTGTTTTTACAATTAAAAACACAAAGAAATTCTTCACACCTGAGTAATCACAAAAAAAAAAAAATTTATGTTCAGACAATGAACACCTTACAGAACAAACACAAGAAGAAGCGACATAAAATAATGAATACCAATTGGTCTTCCCTTGTCTTCAGGCAACAATTCGAAACTTTTCGGAGTGTGGGAGATGTCAACATAGACGCTCAAGCCGGTATATACCAACTGGATAGTATTCCTCCAAACTTTGAAACTCTCCCTTGTAATTCCAGCCTTTTATTTTTCTGACAAAACAATTCTTTTATGTATTTGCGAGACTGTCAGGTAGGAACCTGTTAAGTTTTGCATCTGTTTTTCTTTTCAAAAGGTGAGAGTATAATAGCAAAGGTAGAGAGTGGGCAGAAGATGCCTAATGTTGCTGGGCAGTATGGCATGAACAGGTCTACAGTAGGCTGCAGTTCAATCTTATTTAAGAAAAATAATGTATAATCAAGAAGACTTAAGCAGCTAAAGGAGTAACAAAAATCACATCTGAGAAATAAACAACATCGAAGAATTCATAAAATGGAACCTGAAACAGATCTGACGACAGAAGAATGCCAAGAAACTCAGCGAGATATGTTTTCTTCTGAAAAAGAGGATTAATGCTGATATCTGCTATTAAAGATCTTTTGAAGTGGGAGGATGTCAGAACAACAGTCTTAGAATGGCATCCAAACCATGTTGAGGCTTGGGGATTTCTACAATTGCAATGTTATTAATTACTTACAAAAATCCTGAAGAAGAGAGAAAAGCAATCGACATTAGACAGATTCTTTAACCCTTTCAAATGGAAAAAACATGACTGATAAAAATGCAAGACTGTGTATGTATTTAATTTTATTATTACATATAAATAAATGTAGTAAGAAAGTATATATTTTTTATTTTTGGGGTCTCCAGAATAAATTAATTAAATTTCCATTAAAACCTATAGTAAATCAATAATCGGTTAACGAACAATTTGGACAGTGAACAAAGTCTTGGAACAGATTATGTTTGTTAACCGATCACCCACTGTATTTTTACTTAGAATTGCATAAATTGCATTTGTTATGATTCATGGTATCATCTGTGAATCATGACAAAAACACTTCTATATAAGCCAAAACTAATTTAGCTTGAACAACATCTTAAATACTTTTTTCAGCAACATTTTAATTTCTTTAAACAAACATTTGACCCCTTTTCATAGGTCTTCATCAGATTTAACAAGAAGGTTCAAACTAAGACAGTTTGAATCTTCCCTAAGGTCACCTTATCTCCTCTAAAATAGAGACATTACTAAGTGTAATCTCTCATCACTCTGACTACACAACAGTCCACCACACTAAAGAAAAGTCCATCACAACAGTCGTCACCTCATGTATGGGCATCATGTGCTTTCTGCTTTGTAAACATGAAAGCTTCCAATAAACTAATACTTAATCATTAATTAATATTGTAATTTTAAAAATTGTTAATCTTTGATTGAAACAAATAATTAATTTTCTTGTTTCTTGAAAGCTTCCAATAAACTAATACTTAATTGTTAATACAGTAGAGTCCTGAAAACGCAGCCTAATGTGGACCGAAGGGTGGCCAAGTTTGTGAAAATGCCGGGTTATCGAGAATGAGGTTAAAAAAGAATAAGTACGAGTGTTTCATCAGAAAATACTGTACTGTACTTGTATGTATTGTTTGCTTGAGAATACAACAGAATAAACTGCCCAAATACTCTTAAACAAAGGAAAAGTACGTCCTTTATGAAGGCATAGAGCCTTTACTACATGAAAATGAAAATTAATGAATACACAGTGTACAGTAATTTACTTGATAAGAAGACCTCAGAAAAATACTTTGAGGCATAAAGCTGTCTATAATAAAAATTAACTAGAAATTTTTGCCCTGCCAGGGTGTGGCCGAGTTATCCAGACTGCCAGGTTATAGAATGCCACGTTTTCAGGACTCTACTCTATTGTAATTTTAAAAATTTTTAATCTTTGATTGAAACAAATAATTAATTTTCTTGTTAAATGTTGAAGAATCATTTTAAGAATCAGAAATTGTAACAAGATTTGCTCAATTCCGATTCCTGAAAACTGCCTGATTTTTCTGATTCCTAATTCTGATTAATTGTCCCATCACTAATGATTATAATTACATTTAATGGTTAATTTAAAAATTAAGTTCCAAAGAAGTTGTTTGAATTTTTTACAAAAGCTCACCTTTTGATGATTAAGTGGATTGTCGATGGCGTAACAAAACACAGATATAAAATTTGGCTTGCTTATTAAAGTCGCACACTCCTGAATCAAATACTGTGTCTAAAATAGCATTAAAACAGAATATTATAAGTCTTTATAATAAAAGAAAAAATTTCAACCAAAAATAAAACATAAAACATTAACAATTTCAGAAATTCAAACTTTTTAATATAAAATTTGATTTCTACAGTTAACAATTTTCTACTTTTTAACTCAAAACAATTTTGTTAATTTCAAAAATACTTTTTAATTGACTTAATATCATTATACATATAATTATTAATAATAAACAACAAATTATTAGTGTTTTGTATTTTTCTATATATATTAGTAACTTTTGTCTTTAAATTCTAAAAAATATATATATATATTTCTTAGAATTTAAAGACAAAAGTTATCTATAAAACAAAAGGATAGTTTATTTATTAATAAGGTCTTCTAAAACTACTACAGTAGAATCCCTGATTATCTGGAGCAAGGATCAGCAACCTTTTTCTTACTAAGAATACAAAATTTTTAAAACCATCCAGGGTGCATAGCTTAATTTTTGAAAAAAATCCCAATGTTGTAATAAATAAACAAAATACAGTGAAACCTGCTAATGTGACCACTGAAGGAACCAGCTCAAATAGGTCACCTTATGCAGGAGGTCACATTAGCAGGTTTCACTGTAATTATGTTTTGAAATATGTATACTGTATTTATACAAAATAAAAATTATACATGCTTGTAATAACTAAAAATTGAAAATTAAAAGTATGTATGTAAAATAATAAATTCTAATATCAAATTAAATAAAAAAAAAGTACACACATTGGTGCTTGCATGACTATGATTCTAGAGTGCATCTGAAAAGTGCCGCATTGCTGACCCAATCAATGCTACCTCAGATAACCCAACCTGTGAATAAAACAGACTGCCATGGCCATTTTGGGTTTAAAATTTACAAATATAAAAGATTTATATGCTATATCACTTTTTTTCCTCTTTTTATTCCTTAGTAAATTTAATCATGTATAAAAACAACATTTTTACATCATTTATTATACAGCTAATATAGGTACAGTCCAATAATTTTAAAAATAAACGCATAAAAAATATGTAGAGGAGAAGGTGGTATTATGGAACACTGCAGGTATTATGGAACCACCCCATTTCGAATTGATAATAAAGGCGAACTGTAGCGGAATGTGGATGAACTGAACTAGGCAGACATCCATAGCAAGGGGAAAACCCGTTTTACTTCAGTTAAACGGTTGTCCGTATTTAATCAGCAAATTTGTTTTTTTCAAAATTCACAAGTTTTGAATGCTAAGTGAATTTAATTATTTTTAAAATATAAATCG